CAAAAACATTATACCCTGATTTCCCATTTTCAATGGGTTCAGGGTATAATAATTATATACATCAATATACATCTGATATGTGACTATACATACTTACGTAACTTAACTATATCAACGGATCACAATATTGTTTAGATCTATCATTGGGGGCAGTTGAGCTATAAAAATTGTTAATGTTCAAAGTTATAAGATATACATATTATTTTTCTAATTTTCAACGCTCCGAAGAGGCGTATGATAATCAATTTCGGTCGGTGAATTTTATTGAATTTACAATTATAATTAGTATAATATATGTCTTCGCTTCGATCTCTAATGCAGATCAGCAAAAACAACAACAAGATCTCTAAAGTGACTGAATATATAAGCCGCATTAAGTTTATTTAACTGAGCTATATACATATCCCGTTCGAAAAGTAGAGAAAGTAGTTGTGAAAACTGAATTAACACCTATGTATGTATTAGATATAAAAATACAAATACAAATTACATTAATGTCAAATAGCATCTTTGATTTTAGTACGTCCTATGATCTCGCAGTGTAAATATTCCGATTTTAGAGTCATCAAGTTCTAACTGTAAAGCAGCCAATAACTAATATACCCACTTTTCACTATACGAATAAGTACTATTAGCTACACGTTCAAAACTCTTTATATCAATTCGCAAATCTTATCGCCTACAAATAGTAAGCTCTATAATTGCCGCGAGGTATTAGCTGCTTATCTACCAATAATCATTCAGTATTATCTATATGAACTATAAATGATTGTGCAACTGCGCGCAAAAATGTTTTTTAATGAAATTCCATTTAGAAAAATGTAGATATTATGATGATTGGGAAGAAAAAATCTATATTTTTTAAATTCTTTATAGACGATATAATAATGGGTCATATTTTTGCGGAGTGTAATTTTTTACATTGAAAAAAAAAACGTTCTAAAAATAGAATGACTTGTAGGCCCGAGGGTCAGGGTCAAAATTAAGCGACGTGTTAATCAATTAAGCTGAGAGACACTTCCTTTGCAAACTTCCCCGCTTTTAACGATAGAAACAATATATATGTACATTCCCATGTATTAATATAGAGACACGATCAACGTCAGCTGTGTGGCTGTGTTCAATTCAAATAAATTAATGGCCTGATCTAAATTCTAAAACAATTGTGCTTTCTCGTTGCAGCGAAGAATTTTGGAATGATGAAGCTAATATGCGTAGCCCTAGTGGCTATGCTTTCGGTACGTTAACCAACACTGTTCAAGTTGGGAATTTTCAGTATTTTTATCGACATTCATTTACAGCTTACGCATGCCCTGGTCAAGGAGGAAATCCAGGCCAAAGAATATCTGGAGAATCTGAACAAGGAATTGGCGAGGCGTACTAATATTGAAACTGAGGCCTCTTGGGCCTACGGCTCCAATGTCAATGAGGAGAACGAGAAGAGGAAGAACGAGGTTTCAGCCGAATTGGCAAAATTCATGAAAGAGGTATCCGTGGATATACAAAAGTTCAATTGGCGCAGCTATCAGAACGAGGACATCAAACGCCAGTTCAAATCCCTCTCGAAATTGGGATACGCTGCTCTGCCTGAAGCAGACTATGCCGAGTTCCTGGAGGCAGTCTCCTCAATGGAGTCCAATTTCGCAAAGGTCAAAGTGTGTGACTACAAAGATAACACCAAATGTGATCTTTCGCTTGAGCCGGAGATAGAAGAGGTGATTACCAAGAGTCGCGATCCCGAGGAACTTAAGCACTATTGGGTACAGTTCTACGCAAAGGCCGGCACAGCAGTTCGACCACAATTCGAACGTTACGTCGAATTGAATACGAAAGCGGCCAAACTGAACAGTAAGTTGAAAGTAGATAATAGATGGTAAACGGTAGATATTCTATACAATATAGGATAGATGATATGTAGGTATGTAGAAGTAAAAACTACAAGAAACAAGATACAATAAAAGTATAGTACAAGATTGAATATAGAGATATAAAAGATACCAGATACAAAATGCCAAATACAAGATTTCAGATACAAGATACAAGATAAAAGATACAAACTACAAGATATATATATATATATACAAGATACAGGATGTATAGATATGAAAAGATACACTGATATTAAGATCACTGATATTAAGTACATCGATATAAGATGGAAGATGGAGATTAATATCTTATCTTAAATTCTCACTTGATTATCACTAGACTTTACTTCGGGCGCTGAGGTCTGGCTGGATGAGTATGAGGACGAAACTTTTGAGAAGCAGCTAGAGGATATCTTTGCCGAAATTCGTCCGCTCTATGAACAGGTCCATGGCTATGTGCGCTATCGCCTGAGGAAACACTACGGCGATGCAGTTGTGCCCGAGAAGGGGCCGCTGCCAATGCATCTGCTAGGCAATATGTGGGCACAGAAATGGTCGGCCATAGCAGACCTAGTCTCGCCGTTCCCGGACAAGCCCATTGTGGACGTCACCGCCGAGATGGTGAAGCAGGGCTATACGCCACTCAAGATGTTCCAAATGGGCGA